ATTAACATTGTACTTATTTAAGATGATACTGATGAAAATAAGATAGTAAAGAAAGTTTTGTACAATTCATTTAATTCTTTTTCTTTCTTTCCATAAATAATATTTAACAATTTATTCCATATCTTTTATTGATTTATTCCTCATTCCCGATCATTCTCAAATTTTCTCTTATTGTTGCATTTTTATTTTTTTAATTTATACGTATATTGCGACACAACTTGTTACCGCTATTATTGCATTTACCAAATAGCAATTATCCATTCGTTTTTTTTTTTTTTCTAAAATTCATCTTTCATAATCTTTGAACTCATGAATTGTGATATATAACTATTGTTGTTGTTATTATTGTCATTGTTTTTTCTTTTGATATAGGGTATGAATAAATTTGATAATCTTCTCTATTACAATAATAAATTATAACAGAACAGTGGTATGGTAGTAGTTATGATGAAATTTCATTTTCGTTTTAATTTTAAAATTTTAAATAATTTTAAAGATATAATTTGTTTATTTCATTCATCATCCTCAAGTTTGATTAGTTTTTGCTAATCTATTACAAATGATTTTAAACTTTGCACTGTTTTTTTTCTTTTGATTGTTTACAACTAATTCTATTCCATGTTTATTGATAATGACCCTAAAGTTATCAAAGATGTAGTTTGTTTGTATCATTTATCATCCTCACTGAGGATTAGTTTTTGTTAATAGCTGCTGATAAGATTTGATCATTGATTCCTTCATACTCATCACATTCACTACCTAACATTTTCTTTTTTTCTATCAATTCAAAATAATTTTCGCATAACGGTCAATTTCCTAAATCTCTTCATTTCACTTTTTTTCTTTTTAAGATTCAATATTTTAGCACTTAAGTAAGTGCAGCTATTTGTCACTGTCAAGTGTCAACTTCAACTTAAACATCAATCATTGGCAAAAAGCCTGACAAGTAATCTCTTTTATTTTTCATGTTTCACCAAGGAATTTTTCAGTTTTTGTTACAATTATGTCAAACGAAAAAAAAAAAAGGATGTAATTAGTGTCTTTAAATAATTTCTATTTGCAGCAAAATTTAGAAGAAAAAAAAGGAGGATAATTTGATTACATTTCCAGATGATTGAAATGATAACGAATCAGTATTAACTGTTCTTGCTTGCTCCTACATTCCATGATAATTTATGAAATTCTAATTTTCCATTATAGTTCAAATTAATTTAGATTAAACCAAAATTAATAGGTCAATTCAGTTTAATTAAATTAAACTTTTTTCTTTTAAAAATTTGTTTCCTCAGAACTTTCACTTTTTTTTGTTCACTCTCATTTACTTACTTATCCTAATGTTTGCTTTCTTTTCAATTACTTAATTCAATGATTTGCTATTCGATTTTACCGTCATTTTATTTTTTGCCTCCTCCTTGACTCATATTGTCAACTAAATGTAAGCAAAAGATTTGCAATATAAATTTAAAGCCTTCAATTTCTTGTTTTTAATCTTACCAGATGTAGCAGAGAATTAAATAATTTTTCAACTTTCATACTGATCAGAACAATACTAAGATTAAATCATTAATTTCACTAAAATTGTTTTCATTTTCAAAAGTTGTAATGAAATTAATGGAGTCAATAAAAATTTTTAAAAGTTTAATCAATTAAATTCACTGTTAATTACTATTTGTTGGATAAACTTATTGAAATGTCTGATAGACTTTTCATTCATTCCGTTTTTCATTCTTTTATTTTCAAATTTATTTTAACGATTTCTTTTTGCATTCGCTTTTTTTCAATAATTGTTTTAATAAATTAATATTCAAATGAACTTGAAATTGTCATAAAAAAACTTTTTTGCAATATTTTTACTTTATTATATATATACATATATGTATTTTAATATGTATATATTTTTTAATATATATACATATTTTAAATATATATATATATTTTAATATATATATTTTTTATAAGCATATTAAAATTGTTTTTATCGTATAAATGAAGTTTTTAAATTCAAACTTCAAATATCCATCATTTTTTGTCTAATCTGTTCGTACTTTTTGTCATTCTTCTTATATCGATCATAACGAATACTTAAATAATATATTTACAGTTTATTACTTTATGTTCTGTCGGTTATCATTATTGTCATCATCATTGTCATCATCATCGTCATCATCAATCTTGAACTTATTAGAGATAATGATTCGGATCACCTAGCATCATCACCACCATCATCACCATCATCATTTCTTGAGCTATCCAGATATGATGATTTGGGTCGTATAACATAATCATATTTTGAACAGAGATAATGAGTGGGGTCATGTAGCATCGTCATATCTTGAACTAAGCTATCAGATATGATAATTCCAGTTATATAGCATATATTTTGGGCTATCAGAGATGATAATTTTTGTGATAAGTAGAAATTAAACGAAGTTCAAATTTAATTTTCCTATACCCCTTAAAATCCTCCTTTAATTCCCGAATTTCAAAAAAATTTTCAATCGATCTAAAACTATCAAAATATTGAGCAACTTTTAAAGCCAATTATTCCATGATTTTTCATCGCTTTATTTCAGGTTTACGAGTTTTAGTTGGACGTCCTCGAAGTGAATCAATGGGTAGTAATGAAAAGCAAAAAGTTCCATGGCCACCTGTAAATAAACCATTACGACGTGTTCAGGTTTAATTAGTGTAAATTAAAATCAGAAAAAAAAAGATTTGCAAATTAATAAATCTTTTTCTCATTCATATTTCTTTCGAAGAATTTTTTTTTCAACTTCACTCAACTCTTTTTCATTTATATTATATTGAAATTACTATGGGAAGTTTGATGGAAAGAAAAGAAAATTAGAAAAAATAAATTTTCAATTTTAATGGTTATTAATTACTTAATGAAATATGGTAAGAAATGATAAGTTTATAGATTGTGTTGTAAAAATCTTTTTGCTATTATAAAGTAACTAACTAAATTGCAATTTCAATTTCTTTTTTCTCAAATCGAAGAGAAAAAAAAGAGGAATAAATGAAAGTTGTATGAAAGCTTACTCATAATTCTTTCATTTTTTGTTTTAATTAATCAAATAAACATTACATCGTCAATTAATCTATTTTAGCAAAGGGTATTAATTGAAATATTAATTAAAATTACTAAATTGATTGACTTATATGACACGTGGAATTCATTTACAAATCGATCTTCAACGAATTACACTTGAATATTTCTTTTTTTTAACAATCATTAATATCTGAAGAAAGACAAAAATTTGTGATTTTGATAACATGATGATAAGAATTATCACAATTATCACGATTTAAAATTTATTCTTGTATTTATATTCAGATTGAATGTTGTCCGGTGGAATCAGTATATGATTTACGTGATGATAACGAATCATATGATCTTTATGATGATGCAAGAGCATTTCGTCGACCACGTTCAAATAGCTCTGTATGTTATTTACCCTTTCCTTTTTTTTTTCTTTTACATTTAATTTATATACTAATCTTGATTTGATTCGAACTTGAATTAAGATACCAGTTCTGATTTGATCGGATTTGAATCCAAATTTGCGTCCCAATTTTGACCTAATTTGGGCTTAAATCTATGTGCCAATTTTGATTTCAATTTGAATTTGAATTTGAACATTTTGCCAGAAAAAATTTTTAGCTTATAAATGGGAATGAAAAAAAACCGTTAAAACCGGGAAACAAAAATACAAAAAACAAAAAAAGACGAAAATATTGGCTGCAATTTTTTTTTCGATGATAAAATTTATGCAACATTTTGAGTTAACCAAAATATATGAAAGTTTATTTCAATTTCGAAAAAAAAATATTTTGCAATAGTTACATTTACCAAATGTTCACCTCTCTCTATATTTTTGGCAAATTTTTAACTTTTTTTTAAATTTAAAACAAAAAAGTTTTCAAAAAATGACTTGAAAATAAGATAAAAATTTAACATAGATATTTTTATTTTTGAAAAATAAGTTAAAAATGGGCTAAACGTTTGAGGTGAATTTTTTTTTTGGAAAAGTTTTTTTTCATTTACATTATTCATGATTAAAATTATTTGCCTAATTAAAATAATATTTGAGGATTTTTTGATTTTACGGAAGACTTCACGTCCGGTATCGGTAGATGTTATTGGCCTTTTAGGTATGTTCAATTTGTTTAAGCTAATTAGTATCCATTAAATAGCTCTGTTTATCATTTGATTTTCTATTTGCAATACAAATTTACATTCTTTAATTTTGCTTGAACAAATTTGTTTCTTAAATTTCAGATTTTGAAATTTATCATTCTATGGCAAAAACTAGGGTTAATTTAACTAATTATACGCACTTATTATGTAAATGCCTTTATTAAACTCTAAACTTTTTCGCAAACTTTCATATGTTTTAATAAATTTTGAATTTCAGATAATAGTTTAGACCCATACAAGCAATATATGAAAGTGGTAGATTGTTATGAATTAGCGCCACATGCTGGTCGAGTAATACTTGTAGATAGTAAAGTAAAGGTAAATTATGCATTTAATATCTCTTTAGTTAAAATACTCATCATATATAGTTTATAATATATAGTTGAAATTTAAATATTTATCATATTTTGACATGTAAACTTGGAATAATTGAACAGAAAAAATAAAAAGAACAGGGAAAAACAACTTTTTTTCACTTTAAAATTCAATAACTCAGCCAAATTTTGCTGCGGCAAAAAAAAGGAATATGAAAACTTAAATGCCAAAAAAATGAAAATGAAAAATGTGAATCAGAAATTGTCATGAAATTCCAGCAAATTTTTCATGTATTCATGCATATTCATTTTCTTTATTGTTGTCGATTTTCCAGGAAATTTTTTTCCAAAGCTAATCATTTCCAAAAAAAAGGCATTTAATCACCTATTCATTCCAGATTTTATCATTTAATTATTCTGAATTTAATCAATCATCGAATTTAATTTAATCATTTCGTTACGGCAACAACAATAATTATTATTATTACATTATTACTATTACTGCTTAGTTTTTTTGTGGTATTCAATTTTCCAGAAAAATTTTTTCCATAATTAATCAATTCTGTTATCATTTCGTGATTATTATCACTATTAGTATCAGTAATGTTAATAATATTAGTAATAATAATAATGTTAATAATAATAATATTAATAATAGTAATAATATAATAATAATAATAATAATAATAATAATAATAATAATGTTATTATTATTGTTATTATATTATTATTAATAATTATGTTATTATTATATTATTATTAATAATGTTATTATTATTATTATTATTATTATT